CTCCTCCACCTCCTCCTCCTCCTCGTCCTCGTCATGATCCCTCGGACCTTCCACTTACTTTCTCCTCCTCGTTGTCTAATGCATCACGGGGAGATGAACGGAGACGTGCCCGAAATGAAAGGGCTCATCATTCCGAGGATAAGCTACTTCACCAGAGACGAGTATGAGGAAGCAGCCAGACTGGATGGCGAGGATGAAGAAGATTCGGGATGGCAGGGAGGGGGAAGGGGAGGAGGAGGAAAGGAAGGGGAAGGGGAAGGGGAAGGGGAAGGGGAAGGCTGGCAGGGAGGTTCTTCTGAGGGATAAGATGAAGCGTGCAAAAACGATTGACGACTCCCTTGGAGGGGCAGGAAGGGATGGAGGAAAGGAAAGGAAAGGGAAGGGTGGAGAAGAAGTGAAGGGGAGGGGGAGGGGGAAAGGAAATGCATGGGAGGGGATGACAGGAAATGAAGGGGAGGGGAGAGGAGAGGAGAGAGGAGGAGGAGGAGGAGGAGGGTTTGCTTCAACATTTCATTAGTAAGACCTTCGGATTCCCAGCTGCTGGAGCGGATCTCGAGCCGCAACCTGATCAGGACGATACGTGACCTCTTGCCCCTCCTTCGATCCACTGCCTCCTCCTCCTCATCATCATCATCATCATGATCATCATCATCATCATCCTCTCGTATCACACCCCACTTGGAACAAGGGCAAGGTCCAGAAATTGAGGCGGGAGGCCAAGTACGAAGAAAGGCGAAAGTGGGTGGAGTAGGGGGAAGGAGGAAAACAAGGGAGGAGGGGGAGGGGGACGGTAGTAAGACCTTCTCACCTGCTTTTCCTTGGCTTGGTCCAAGATCTTTCGCCAGTCCATCGCGTCCACCTCGCCCTGAAGCAGCAGGAGAAGGAGGAATCCGGTTTTGATTGCCACGAGGAGCAAGGAGGAGGGAAAGAAGAAAAACGCGGAGGTGGGGGAGAACGAAGTGAGGAAGAGCATGAGGGGAAGAGGCAGGCAAAAGGAAGAGAACGATTAGGAAGCGTCAGGCATCAACGGATCTTTAAGATCATATTCTCCTCACATTGTCAATCAGCTCGTAACCCTCACGATAGGCTTCTTTCATGAAGGCCTTCCTCTTCGTCTCGTCCTCCATTGCTCTCTTTGTTTCTTCTCGCATGCCTGCCAGTAGATTACTTCACGATTGTGCCAGTGAGAGCG